AAAAACCCCCCCCCCCCCCCCCCCCAAAAAAAAAAAAAATACTTTAGAAGAAGGTGTAGGGTCCTTGTTTTTGCAAGGATTGTCAATTTTTTTTGCTGAATTTAGAATTTTAATTGAAGGATTGAATCCCACTTGTTAGTTATGGATGTTAAGAGCCCAAATCTAAATCTACTTGAAAATCTACTTTCAAACTTTGAATGAAATGCACCCAAAGGGATTTGGAAAGACTCAGGTCAGGAAAGTCCCTCTTATATACCATTTTCTGTACTCAATTTTATTGTTCAGCCCATCCTATCGAGTTCCCCAGTCTCTCTATTTTGTGAGTATCTTTTCCTGCTACTTTTATTCTGAAGCATACCAAATTCTCATCTTTGTTATTGTTTGTTTGCTTATACTTATTGAAATTACTCTTAACGTTTTCTTTGGAATGTATCTGCTACAGAGAGGATGAAATTGAGGACATTCAAAAGGTATGCCCAGAGTTTTTTATGGACTTTTAGATTGCATTTTGTAACGTGAGTGATTCATATTCTTACAAAGTCGTTTTTTTGTGTACAGGAAATTGCAGTTCTGTCACAGTGTCGATCTCCGTATATTACAGAATATTATGGGTCCTATCTGCACCAAACTAAATTATGGATAATAATGGAATACATGGCTGGTGGTTCTGTTGCTGATCTTGTAAGTTACTTTTGCTGACTTCTTCATGCTTATTTTATGAATCTTAAAGTTGTGTGCATTCAAGGATCCCAGGAAATAAATAGGCTTTTAACTATTACAAGACTTGCAGCCCAATGCTCTCCGTCTTTGTTGTTTACTAGTTTTTGTTTGCAAGCTCCTTTCAAGGTAATCATATGTGGCCTGGATGTCAAGTGTTGGAATAGTAAATTGGACGGGTTTCACATTTTATTTGTGAGGGGGACAATTGTAGCTCTTCCCATCGCCCGTACTTCACAAAAAATCTTAGTTACCTGATGGTGGATGAAGATTTAAAAGTTATTCACCTTGCATTCCAGTTATGAATTTGTGGTCGACCACATCTTACTAAATTTTTATCTAGTCATAAACCTTGGTAAAGAATATCCGGCGTAGGAAATCTTATTTTGGATGCTAACACCTATTTCAATTTGCAGATTGGACCAAATCAGCCTTTGGATGAAATGTCCATAGCTTGCATTTTGTGGGACTTGCTCCATGCAATTGAATATCTCCACAACGAAGGGAAGATTCACAGGGATATCAAAGGTTTTTTCCCTGGCCTTAAATACTTATTTGGATATCCGAGATCACGGCGGTTAGGGGTCATTCCATAATTGATGGTAGATTTGGGTTGTCAAGCTTGATAAAATGGGTTCAAGTGTGAGCCTATGAGAGCAGCCACTTTGTGAAATTTTAGCCAAACATTAATTCCGTGCCTACTCTAACCTTTCCAGCACCACTGATTGATCAGGTTTAGCGCTTTTAACAATATCACCGTAATGGATGGAAATCGTTTCTTCTAAAAATCTGTGAAAGAAGACCTGAATTTGATTTGTTGTCCTAAAAAATTTCAATTGCTTTCTTCCTTTTTGTAACACTTTTTCCTCCTTTTATTCTTTATAAAATTGTCGTTTCTAATTGAAAAAATTGCTTTCCTTTTACATCTTTTATCTGTGTCTAGTAGATGGAATATTCATTTCTTCCTCTAAATGGGTTAGTATAATGACACCTTGCCATTACATTTTTGCAGCGGCAAACATTTTGTTGACAGAGAATGGTGATGTTAAGGTATGTTCTTGCTACTCAAGAAGGCCTTTTCTGTTTACAATGGGATTGTGAATAATTTGTAGGAAGGCATGCATGTTGTGGATGATGTAAGATGCACTAGTTTCTGTTTACTAAGTATGTATTTCGACTTTGTTCTAGGTTGCAGATTTTGGTGTTTCTGCACAATTAACGAGGACAATTTCGAGAAGAAAGGTTCTTTTCTTGCTCATTCGTCACCAAATATGCATGAATTGCCTTTCTGGATTTTTTTGCTGTTTGTTTATCAATGGAATTATAGTTTGAGCACTTCAGTTATGACCTGCTCTTGTGCTAATTTCTCAACCTTCTTCTTCTTAGTAATCTCTTTCTGTGTGTCCATCTTTGTCCCTGTCTAAATAAATATATACACATTCCTGTAGGTGGACGGTTTTAGTCCTTTGACAAAAAAAAGTGCGGTGTGGAACAAGCCATAAATTGGATGTTAGTTTTTGATCTGCTTGGCAACGTTAGAAATAAGCTTTTTAATTTCTTTTTGTTCTTTTGCTCACCATTTTGCTTGTTTTTAATCCCTTTATCAATTTTCATCTCTGAGCAATTTATTTCCATTAGGCAAGAAAGCCTTGAGGCCTTAATACATGTGGTGAGATACATGGGCCTTTTTGACCATTGAGCTCTCCCTTTGCCATATGCTCTTCCAAATACTGTCCATCATTACTTTTCCCTTTTCCCTCTTTTGCCATCCTGTTGTCCTTTAAAATTTCTCTCCTTGAACCTCTTTTTCCTTTCCATTTTACTGGATTAGGTTGTTATATGAAATTGCTCCCTCTAATGAGCAAGTGTTGCCTGTAAGCTAGTGTGATCTGAACGAAGCTTATAGTTAGTTGCATAATTATTTTTNAAGACCTGAATTTGATTTGTTGTCCTAAAAAATTTCAATTGCTTTCTTCCTTTTTGTAACACTTTTTCCTCCTTTTATTCTTTATAAAATTGTCGTTTCTAATTGAAAAAATTGCTTTCCTTTTACATCTTTTATCTGTGTCTAGTAGATGGAATATTCATTTCTTCCTCTAAATGGGTTAGTATAATGACACCTTGCCATTACATTTTTGCAGCGGCAAACATTTTGTTGACAGAGAATGGTGATGTTAAGGTATGTTCTTGCTACTCAAGAAGGCCTTTTCTGTTTACAATGGGATTGTGAATAATTTGTAGGAAGGCATGCATGTTGTGGATGATGTAAGATGCACTAGTTTCTGTTTACTAAGTATGTATTTCGACTTTGTTCTAGGTTGCAGATTTTGGTGTTTCTGCACAATTAACGAGGACAATTTCGAGAAGAAAGGTTCTTTTCTTGCTCATTCGTCACCAAATATGCATGAATTGCCTTTCTGGATTTTTTTGCTGTTTGTTTATCAATGGAATTATAGTTTGAGCACTTCAGTTATGACCTGCTCTTGTGCTAATTTCTCAACCTTCTTCTTCTTAGTAATCTCTTTCTGTGTGTCCATCTTTGTCCCTGTCTAAATAAATATATACACATTCCTGTAGGTGGACGGTTTTAGTCCTTTGACAAAAAAAAGTGCGGTGTGGAACAAGCCATAAATTGGATGTTAGTTTTTGATCTGCTTGGCAACGTTAGAAATAAGCTTTTTAATTTCTTTTTGTTCTTTTGCTCACCATTTTGCTTGTTTTTAATCCCTTTATCAATTTTCATCTCTGAGCAATTTATTTCCATTAGGCAAGAAAGCCTTGAGGCCTTAATACATGTGGTGAGATACATGGGCCTTTTTGACCATTGAGCTCTCCCTTTGCCATATGCTCTTCCAAATACTGTCCATCATTACTTTTCCCTTTTCCCTCTTTTGCCATCCTGTTGTCCTTTAAAATTTCTCTCCTTGAACCTCTTTTTCCTTTCCATTTTACTGGATTAGGTTGTTATATGAAATTGCTCCCTCTAATGAGCAAGTGTTGCCTGTAAGCTAGTGTGATCTGAACGAAGCTTATAGTTAGTTGCATAATTATTTTTTCCCCATTTCTTTAGTAGCCATAAAACATATGGTTCAGTTCTTTTTTTTTTTTTTTCTTTTTTCTTGGTAAGTTATATACTTATATGAAAATTAGTGGTATAGAAACTTGTCTATATCTAACTTCATGCATGGGTTGTTATAACTTCCTGTTGGGGGATTTGTTGACATCCTGATGTGATGAAATCCATCTTTTGGAGAGACAACAATGTTTTCTGCCTGACTGCATGGTGCAGCTATTTCTATCAAGTTGCACTACCTTGTATTTCACCACCATTTGGGAGTCAAAAACCTGATGAGTGATTTGTCTATGAGCTGTACAGCTAGAGCACATTTTTTTACATTTGCATTTCTGTTAGAAAAGCACTGAGATTGGCATTATTATTTATTAATCATGCATACATGTCTTCTGTATTTTGCACTAATGCAATTAACAATGACAGACTTTTGTAGGAACACCATTTTGGATGGCTCCTGAAGTAATTCAGAATTCAGAAGAAGGATACAATGAGAAGGTAATATCTTGAAGCAGCACTGCCTTTCCCAATTAGTACCTAAATTTCCTTTATATCTTGTACTTCTTGTCATTGTCAATGTCAACATCCTCTCCCACTCAATTTCTTTTGTATTGTTACTGTTGAGCCTTTTGCAATTGCCACACGGTCGGAGCCTTTACTTGATGCAATTGCAGGCAGATATCTGGTCTCTAGGGATAACTGCAATTGAAATGGCGAAAGGTGAACCTCCACTTGCAGATCTTCACCCTATGAGAGTTCTTTTCATTATACCTCGAGAAAATCCGCCACAGGTTAGTTTTCGTTCTTTGATGGTTTTCCTTTCTTGTGGTTAAGAAGATATTCATTTTCCATAGTTAACTTCCATTCTTTCCACTAGGAGATTGACATCTACTGTTTGCTGTGCAGCTGGATGAGCATTTTTCTCGTCCTATGAAAGAATTTGTCTCGTTGTGTCTAAAGAAGGTGCCTGCTGAGGTAGGTACCTGAACCCTTAAAAGCTGCCCTTTTTTCTTTTTCTCTTTACTCTGGAAATTCTATGATGTGAATCATTTGACTCAATCGATTTTTGTGTCAGTTGAGATGTCTTTTTGTTGAGTGGTGTGTGGTTTGATATCTCCCTGCCTCTACTTTCTTTCTTACACTGAAAGAAGAATCACTTTAGAATGCTCCCTTTTGGCATCATGCTTTTGTATTTGCATCCATAGTTTCACCTATTGTACAATATGTTAACAACGATGGGCTGTGCTATGGGGATGGGTTTGGAGTTCTCCTTGCTCCCTTTCCTAATAATGAATGAATTAAATAGAATAAAAATGTTCTAGTGTGCAGACATTACTCATGTATACCGAAAGCATGGAATGTTTCTATTGTCTTATACGTCATGCACCTTGCTTGTGACTGAGATCCTCATTCCCAAAGTCTTGGAACCAAATTAATCATTGAGATGTATCCCTCGTTATTTGGTATGCTACCAGTGTCTTCTCTTGTCCATTGCAGGATTTTTTCCCTTCATTTTTTTGTTTGATGTAGCATTCATATAGTGTAGTAAATGCATAAGCTGATTTTAGGTAGGAACTATACTTACGGTTAATTCAATGGAAACAAGTCAAAATTAGATGCTTTGATGAAGCAGTTTTTTTTTTATTTTTTTATTTGAACGATTGACATTATTTGATGTGAATTCCTCATTTAGTAGATATAGGTTTTCACCTTGTTATGGAATAAGGTGTTGTGTCTTGGCATTTAAAACCATGCAGTCGGAATTTGTGGTGGTGATATGATCGCCCATAATTTAGTTTGATCTTGCTGAAAGTAGCTTTGCTAATGCTAGCTCTTTTGTCTTCTTAATTACAGAGGCAAAGTGCAAAGGAACTTCTGAAGCATCGTTTCATCAGAAATGCTAGGAAGAGTCCAAGGCTCTTGGAGAGAATCAGGTGCAGTTTGTTGCTATCAGACTGTATTCTTTAAAGTTTGACCCAGTCTTGCCCGATTGTATTAGTCTTTAATTGGCGTTGTCGTCAATAATGATCACAGCAGCCCATTATTGATTATGTTTAAATTTTTTCTCGCAATCGTGGTCACTTGTTTTAGAGTTAACATCTTTGTTATCAAGAAATGGACATGGGCTGCAAAAAGGCCGTAAAAATAACAATAAATGGGCGTAGTTGATGTTTGACATGGCATCTATTCTGTCCTATCAAGTGATGAGCCAAAATGAATTTAACTGCAATTCAGTGGTCATCTTCTTGAATGATAAAAAATCTATGCTTGTCTGTCCTGTAGTAAATTCTAAAATGAGATGCTGCAAGAAAATATTGATGTCACAAGTGCATCAGGGATTAAAAAGAACACACTGATATCATATCTGAGATCTCAAAAGGGAATCAGAAATGGCATTAAGATAGTTTAAAGGTACCACTTGATTTCCATGCCAAATTTCCATTGTTAAAGACTGAGGTTTGATTTCCATGCCTTTATTAGCCGATACATATAGAATGTCCTTATTACGTAAATCTGCATGGTAATGGCATCCCCTCTTTTGTAATCTTGGCAGAGAGCGCCCTAAGTTCCTACTAAAAGAGGATGCAGAAACCCCTAGAAATGGTCCAAAAGCTTTAGGGGAAGCATCGGGCACTGTGAAAGTGACAAGAGATTCAAGAGTTGGAGACACTGTCCGGGCCAGGTGGGTGGATTTTGTCAATTTCCCTAATTACCTTGGCTGTGATGCTGAATCTATGCTGACTAGTGCTTAATCGCAGTAGTCAGGAAAAAACCATACGAAATACTGGGTGGGACTTCAGCATTGGTGGAGCAACTGGTACTGGAACAGTGCGAAGTGTTGTGAGACCACCTCAGGTTAGAGAAAGGAAGCCAGAGGCTCCTTTAAGTCAATCTACTTCAAGAAAAAATCTTGACAGTGGTAACCGGCCTTCGTCTGCTTCTGGAAGCATGCCTTATGATTCATCAGAAATTTCGATGAGAAAAGATGCTGGAGATCCATACAAGGATGAGAAACAAGATTATTACCCTGAAGATGTAAGATTCTCTCTCCATGTGTTTTTGAGTGTGTCTGTATGTTGCTGACTTGTTGTGTCTGTATAATCTCGAGATCAAAAAAAACAAAAACTACTGCTTCTTCAATTTACCAACTGGTAACTAGGTTGACAAAATGTGACTCAGCTCAGAAATTCTGTGACATAAACAGCTTAGCACAAATTGCGATGAGCTTAGCTACTCACATAGTTTCAAACTTCTATTTTTCCCTGTGATTTGTATGAATCTTTTGTATGAGTCTCCTAAGCTGGTTGAAAATGCATGATTGGCAGGAAGAGCTGTCAGTGAGCGGAACAGGAACTGTTGTTGTACGATCTCCAAGAATGCAGTCATCCTCTTTATTCGGTGATCAAAGTATCTTGGTAGGGTTTTTTTTCAGGTTCAGATGGATGGGATTACTCATTCGATCAGTAGATTAAGTTTTGTCTCCTTGTTCTTGCTTTCTGTTGATATTATTTTGATTTGCCATTCAGTCTAGCTGTACATATGCTTCTCTTGAGGATGCTTCCACAAGTGGTACTATTGTTTATCGCGGGCAACATGATGACTCAGATTCTCCTCGAACTCCAAAGTCCAGGCTGGGTATCCAAGAGAGAACTTCAAGTGCATCACTTGAAGATAGTGCAACAAACCTTGCGGAGGTTGATTATATTTCATTAATGTTTCTAAACTGAGAAATACCTTACTAGGATTGAGAGAAAATTCTTGGTATTTTCTTTTTGCGGCAGGAGCCTTGACTACCCTTTTTAATCAAAGAAGTCTTTTATATCATGCATCACCTAACAGGTTCGTGTTAAAAGGCTTATTTTCTGTGATGTTGTTTAGGCAAAAGCTGCCATTCAAGGAAAATTAAGGAAAGGAAATGTTAGAGAAAGCTCTGTATTGGCCAAGGTAAATAAAGACAGGCAAGAAAGTAAAAAATCAGAGCAATCAACAAACAGCTCTGATTCTTCAAGGTACATCTTAGATTTGATTTGCGGCTAGATTTTTACTGCAGAAATGAAAGTCAAGGTGATCTTACAAGGTGTTACTCTCAACTTTTTCTGTTTTCACCCAAAAAATGAAACTTATTCTTCAGACTATCTCGTGAGTTTGATGTGCAAAAAGTATTTCCAAGATCACGCCACACAGTTGATGGAGAAGACAGTGCTAGAATTTCTGCAGCAGCATCGTCTGCCCCATTGTCAATTCTGCTCATTCCTTCATTAAAAGAGGTGAGCCGTTAGAGATTAAATTTATATGCGAGAGGTAACCTTATGTTACTCATCAACTTCTAGTCTGAACCAGAGAGTATGTAGAGCAGATCATCCATAACTGCAAATTGACACACTTGACTTAGATCTATGCCACACGTTTCATGATTTGTTGCTGTATTTGATGCAGGTAACTGCAAATTGACACACTTGACTTAGATCCATGCCACATTTCATGATTTGTTGCTGTATTTGATGCAGGTGACTGCTGATGATTCAGAAGGGTCAGTTGCGCGTGCATTGACAAATTCATTCATGGATGTGGAGTGCATGAAGCCTGGGTCTAGTGAAGCTTTTGTCACCAGTATGCTTCACCGGCTAGCAAGGTTTATGACCATTCCATATTTTTGTGTGTGTTATGATATACTACTACAAGATAGTCTTTTGTTTAAAATGTTTCTCAAGTGGGAGGAAAATTGTACAGTTCAGAGGAATCTTCACTGAAGGAACTGCAGGAGAAGGCAGCTCGCATGTTCACCGATGGCAAGACAACTCCTGAGCAAACTGAGAATACAAATACAGAAGCTGATAGCAAGAAAAAGCAACAAAATAAAGAGCTTCATTCAAATGCCAATTTGAGTCCACTTGCTAGGTTTTTGCTTTCAAGGTTTGTCAAATGATTGCTCTCTTGCCCGATAATTTGGTTTATTTCTGCAGGAGGCATACTTTTCATATGGGTGGGTACCCATGGCTTAATAAACACCTTAATGCTAAAAGACCATGGGTTGCAAATGCAATACCAATACTCAACAACTATTGGCCCAACCTAAAATAAACCTATGAAGAAGATATTTGAGATACAGACATGATTTTTACTGTAACAGTAATACCAACCCCCCTTCCCCTTTCAAAAAAAAAAAAAAAAAATTCAATTGTTGACCCAATTGGCATTGAAGATAATGAGGCCATACGTGGATTCCCAACACTCTCTCTCTCTCCCCCCATCTTGATACTCGGGTTCTATTAACAATGTTAAAGATGACGTTTCCTGATTTATCCATTTTTTTTCAATGCAGATGGGTAGGCCAAGTTTCCCGAGATCTAAACCCAGCTTAAGAGGCCAGATCATTGTCTATTTTAGGCTTTTTAGTCTCATCTGTTTATGCATTGATTGATTGAGTGTACATAAACATTTAAAGATACCTGTGTTTTTTATGCTTTACTTTTATTTTTGTCACCACCCAAGAAAAATTATCTTATTTACCTTTTTTTCCCTACTAGTGGAAACATTGAGGAATAATGAATAACTAGATTGATTTATTGTAATTTTGATAGATCTTTTTCCGTAATATGAAAGGTATACTGTAATATATTTATATGTCGTTGTGTTAAAACTGTAATGTCAATAACTCTTCTCTCGTTGGATCCAGAACCATTCCAGTATTTGAGAAGATACCCATCTATGTTGTTTCATATTGCTCCGATTGTACTTGCAGAGCAAATGCACTTTAAATTGCAGACAACCTTTATTTTCATCTCAGTACTTTTCATTTCACCCAATCTAATGCCATAGTCAGTATTGAACATTTCTGTTCCTTCAAAGAGGCCTGTGTTTGATACCACAATCTAAACTGAAATACCGTTACCGAGTCACCCATTTGTTCTTTTTTGAATGTCTCAAATCACAGTAATATTAGGCATGTCAATCGTGTTGTGTCGAATTTTGATAGATTTATGTTGAGATGCATTTTAGTTATATCCGATTCGTATATTAATTTATATTTAACAAGTTGTGTCATATTAAGTTTGTGTCGTGTATTAATTATATATAACTAGTATATAAATAAATTATGTTGTATATTTCTTTCGATAGATTTCATTCATATTCGATTCGTTTATTAATCGAATCGTATCGAGTATACTTGTTTACGAAATAGGTTGCTTAAAAAAAATTCAAACTCTCCAACTTTGTGTCATGTTTAACCAATCATGTCTTATTTTAACACCCTTATCCAATATGATTGGGCTACGTACATGGCTCCTTTCGTCCCCCTCTATTTTTTTTCATCAAGGTCATCTATTAACAGGTCTAATTATAAATATCAAAAAATAATTTTTGGTACTGTACATTTATTTTTTATTTAACAAAAAGTGCGATGCATGTTAATTTTTATTTATTTATTATTTTGTCAATTACCAGTTGAAAAATCCAATTAAAAAGTGATCAATTGTGGTATTGTATGAACACTGCACCATACGGTAACCATATCCTAAGCTAAGGAGGAAACAGAGTGGTAAAACACACACAAAGCAGAGGAGGAGCACAAATGTCACTAATGGTGGTCTGTTCGCTTCGTAGTCATTTCTTCAAACACCTTCCTTACACTGCAATCAACGACTTCTTCTCCATCTATCGCTCTCACTCTCTCACTCCTCTCAATCGCTTCTCTCTCCTCTCCCCTGCACTAACTGAAGCGAGACAACTATGGAGACTCAATTCAATCGCTGAAACTTTCTCGACTTCATCTTCTTATTCGAAAACTCCACCAACTCATTCTTTTACTTCTTCTTACCTCTCCGTTCNAGTATTTGAGAAGATACCCATCTATGTTGTTTCATATTGCTCCGATTGTACTTGCAGAGCAAATGCACTTTAAATTGCAGACAACCTTTATTTTCATCTCAGTACTTTTCATTTCACCCAATCTAATGCCATAGTCAGTATTGAACATTTCTGTTCCTTCAAAGAGGCCTGTGTTTGATACCACAATCTAAACTGAAATACCGTTACCGAGTCACCCATTTGTTCTTTTTTGAATGTCTCAAATCACAGTAATATTAGGCATGTCAATCGTGTTGTGTCGAATTTTGATAGATTTATGTTGAGATGCATTTTAGTTATATCCGATTCGTATATTAATTTATATTTAACAAGTTGTGTCATATTAAGTTTGTGTCGTGTATTAATTATATATAACTAGTATATAAATAAATTATGTTGTATATTTCTTTCGATAGATTTCATTCATATTCGATTCGTTTATTAATCGAATCGTATCGAGTATACTTGTTTACGAAATAGGTTGCTTAAAAAAAATTCAAACTCTCCAACTTTGTGTCATGTTTAACCAATCATGTCTTATTTTAACACCCTTATCCAATATGATTGGGCTACGTACATGGCTCCTTTCGTCCCCCTCTATTTTTTTTCATCAAGGTCATCTATTAACAGGTCTAATTATAAATATCAAAAAATAATTTTTGGTACTGTACATTTATTTTTTATTTAACAAAAAGTGCGATGCATGTTAATTTTTATTTATTTATTATTTTGTCAATTACCAGTTGAAAAATCCAATTAAAAAGTGATCAATTGTGGTATTGTATGAACACTGCACCATACGGTAACCATATCCTAAGCTAAGGAGGAAACAGAGTGGTAAAACACACACAAAGCAGAGGAGGAGCACAAATGTCACTAATGGTGGTCTGTTCGCTTCGTAGTCATTTCTTCAAACACCTTCCTTACACTGCAATCAACGACTTCTTCTCCATCTATCGCTCTCACTCTCTCACTCCTCTCAATCGCTTCTCTCTCCTCTCCCCTGCACTAACTGAAGCGAGACAACTATGGAGACTCAATTCAATCGCTGAAACTTTCTCGACTTCATCTTCTTATTCGAAAACTCCACCAACTCATTCTTTTACTTCTTCTTACCTCTCCGTTCTCATTTGCTGCCGAAAAGATGTCGCCGTAATCTCCTCTCTCTCTCTCTCTCTCTCTCGTAGCTGGGTTTAAATAAGTTTCATTAATGGTGAAAAAGGATACTCCTGCTTATGAAGAAACAGGGAAAAAAAGGGTCAAAAAGAACGCTTGGAGTATAGGAAAGGGATTAGATGAGTGAGTTTTAGTGACGCAATTTTTGTCTTAATAGCATGTTAATGTTGTTGCTTAGGATATGCTGTCGGAAGCTCTTTTATGTTTCGGTGCTAGTTCCACTAGCATGGATGAACCAGACAGGAACGAGGACGATGATGATGATGATGAGGTAAACCCATATTACATTCTCAGATACTGATTTTGGATTGCTATGTTTTATATACTCTGTTTTCTTCCACATCTCCCTGCGCGCGTGTGCGGGCGCATGGGGAAGAGGGTAAGGAGTCGGGTGGGACTGCAAACTTCCCAAGACTAGCTTTCGCGGACAATGTCTATTATTAAATGGTGGTGCTATAACAAATCCAGAGTACCTTAACCTGTGGTTGCCGCACAAACCTGGTCACCTTAACCTGTCTGTTTCAATGAAGAAGAAAAGTCTCTCGAGTTTTGGCCCCTTTGAAACAGTAAATTTCAAAATTTCAAAAAAATTCCGCCTGGTTTATTTCTAAAAACTTAGAAGGCCTCAGGACCCCGGCCCCTATGCCAGAGCGGTTAAGTGCAAGGACGTCAGACTAGAGGAGCTTGCTTCCGGGTCTAACTGAGAAAAGAAACATTTAGCAAGACTGAAGCCTTGTCAACAACTGAATCACGAAGTTGGGGAATCAAGAAAGGAGGATATTCCAGCTTCCACAAGTACTCGTGTCTGCATTGGCAATGCCCTAACTCCGTCAATGGTTGCAATATTTGTCTGACTTTTTACTGTTTAGATAGGGACATTGTGTAAGAATGACACCCACCTGCAGGGTAAACTGTTAGAAATTAGTGGTGAAGTCATTGGTGTTCCATTTTTCATAAATTGGAGCTGATCTAAATGACAACAATTGGCGACTACAACCAGTAATAGGATGATAAGTTCCATACGTTCTATAAAATTACTACAGGTTGTCCACATCAAACTATGCTACTTTTTTGAGATATGACTACTTTGTGATGCTACATATCCTTGCCCATCTCTATTTGGTGCGACGAACAAAATCAAGCTCCTGTACCAAACAAATTACATGCAAAATGGCAAGCTTGCAGAGGAAAAAGGCTATTTTGAAGTATTGAATAATCTACCATATGATTTATGTTGCCAAAAATTGTGTTTCATGCTATTGCCATGAAACATGTAGAGCTGATGATCACCAGTCAACACATTCCAGAAATGATTCACTCTTTAGATTACTTAAGTGTTTCATTTGCCCCTTAAACTGCCTTAACTTTCTGCTTGAGGTAACTGAGAGGCCTGCATGGAGACTGTTATTTTAATTGTGATGCCTGTGATAGTAGTTGATATGTTTTACCTTTCCCTAGTTTAGTGCATGATAATTTACGTTAGTTTGCTCTATTGGTAGCTCACAAGTATTTTTTTTTCTGCAGATCTGCATTAGTTCAATATTCTCTGTAAGCCAGGATGTGAAAGAGTCCATCTCACATGCTGCTGATTCCATTGGTTTGAAAGAGATGCCTAATTATGAAGTGATGATGCATGATCATTGTGACTGGATAAAAAAAACACAGGTTAAATTGGTTTCTGTAGTACTTTTTTCTGCAATAAAACTCTTGAAATTATATTCCTTGTGTATTCAATCTTAAACTTCTTTCTCATCTACTCTGTTTGTCCCAAAATCTTTAGCTACAGATATTCTTTTGTGGTTCATTCTTGTATCTTCAATCAAACAAATGGTCATCTTCTGCCTTTCTAGTTTTCTATTTTTTGATAGTTTACGTAGAAGACCAAATTTAAATGATGAGAAAGAAGAAAGTTCAAAGCTAAAGTTGAACAAGATCGAACTCTCGAGTTCCCGGCACCTGAGCTGGTCTTCATTTCAGCCTTCAGCATAGCTGCTTGGTTTTTTGTGGATATGAATTTGCTATATTCAATCTTCTTCTCTGCACATTTTATTTGCAGTTTTGATGGACTATAAAGAGCTTCAATAATATTACTACTTTAAACAAAATGAGTAGCTTGTGCTAAAGTATGTACAAAGCAAGAACCAAGGAATGAATATCAGACTTTCAGTAAAGGTTGAATTCAGCATAAAATTGTTCATCTATTCTGGTGTTTTGAATAATACATTTTGCTGGCTCAATACTGATTTTGTTTGTTTATATAGTACTGGAAATTATTTATAGGAAATGATAGGCCATATTTCCACTCAGTTTGTAATAATGTATTATGTTATTTTTATGTTCATCAGATATTTGGAAGTTCTTATTATTGTAGCTTTCCCTCAAATACCTTCACGTGGATGGAAAGACACGCCCATCTTGAGTCTATCTCTATATGCAGTCTATTGATAATATGCATAAATATCCATGGAACACTATATCCGTTAAAGTTCAATTTGCATGCCTAATCAACTGAGCTATGCTGATCAAATCTTATTCTCGATCATTTCCTGATAATAATATGCTGCAGGAATCATTTCATCCTGTAGAAGTCACAGAGGGACTTTGGATTGTGCCAGAGTGGAGAACCCCACCAGTATGCTTATAAGTGTTCTTTCCTGTTTATAGTTTCTATTGCAGTTGCTGGTCACTGTATGTCAACAACTCTTCCCTTTGGTTTCTGTCAAAATTGAGCTTTTTATTGTGGATTCCCTCTGCTTACTCAGCTGATGTTAAAACGCCTAATCACATGTCACTTGTCTGCTTCTGATACTGAAGCACTTCTTTCTGTATCTATGATATGCCAGCTTCTTTTCTGTTGGAATCGAGCTGGCACATTAAAAACTTTCTACTCCCTGTTTTGGTTTACGGAGATGAATATCACCTTGATTGTTTGACATAATTTTGTTTCTTGAAACTTACAGGACCTCCAAGCAACAAATATAATTCTAAATCCTGGTTTGGCGTTTGGAACCGGGGAACATCCTACAACTAAATTGTGTCTGTTGATGCTGCATGGCTCAATAAAAGGAGGAGAAGTCTTCTTGGATTATGGCACAGGTTCTGGAATTCTTGCAATTGCAGCACTTAGGGTATTCCATTGTTCATTTTATTCTTAATGTTTTAAGCTTTAGTCAAAGGAGCCTGGTATATCAAGTTCTCATTAATTTATCCCACCAAAATGGTCCATTTTCTTGTCCACCCTTTTTAACTGAAGATCTTTGATAATCTTTACAGATAAATAAAACAAGATGAAAACGGCCCTCAGCTGATGCATTCCTATTTAAGTAATACAAAGTCTTTCTACAATTACATTTATGCAAACTGAATGAAACATGGTCAAATACAATCCTTTCTAAGGTGACTTTTTTACCCTAATTATTGTAGCTGTGACTTAAGATGGCAGAAATGTGTTGCATAGTAATTTTCAATTTCTTGTGCAGCTGATTTACTTAATGTGTAGTTTGTCATTATGTTTGTAAGTGCAGTTTGGTGCTTCTCTGTCTGTTGGATTTGACATAGATCCCCAAGCAATTACAGCTGCACAACACAATGCTGCTCTGAACAACATAGCACCTGAGAAATTGCAATTGCATCTTGTTCCTAGCAAGACCAGTTCTACGGATGAATTGTCAAATGAAGGTGTGGATGGCCAGAATTTTTACGCCACGGGAGCTATTGTTGAGACACAGAAATATGACGTGGTTCTTGCAAATATACTTTTAAATCCGTTGCTAGATTTGGCTGATCAAATTGTTTCATATGCCAAGCCTGGAGCGGTTGTTGGCATCTCTGGAGTCATATCTGAGCAGGTACTCATGGTAAAGAAAAGAATAGAGCCACTAATGGGAGTTTGGGAGGGGTAGATTGGGCAAAGACCTAACATTTGGCATTATTTGCACAAAGTGACTGCTCTCATTATTTAATGGTGATGGTTACAAGACACCTATGTCAGTGAAGTTTGTTCAAAATAACTAGTTCGACATTTATGATTTAGGTCAGTATAGATAGCCTACCAAGACTTCAATTTGTTTATGGTAAAAGAAGTCCACTAACTGGATGATGAAAGTATCAGCAGTGAATCTGATGTCTAGGACATGGTTATGATGATTTGCATATTTTGTGTCAAATTTCATGTCTTCGTGGGATTTTTTATTTGTTTGTAATATTTTGAGCCAAATAATATCTGCCATGTGTATTGCAATCATATCTTTCTGAGGTACTTAATTTATGCATTTCAAATTGTTCATAGACATCCAAATTTACCAGTAAAAATTTAACATGGACACTTCAGAATACGTGAAGTACCTCAAAAGGAATTGATTGCAAGATATGTCTCACATGCCAACTGTAGGCAGTTATTCTTCAAAAAGAAATCAGTGTGACCCTATTTTTCAAATATTTCCTTCAATGAGAGATTTCAAGATAATTGAATTTTCCATCATTAGGCATGCTACGTTACATAGACCATCGTTTACTGCTGATAGGTAGCAAATTTAGCACTTTAGGGGCATATACGAGCACTAAACTTCTACGGGTTGGATTGAACCAGATAACTGGTCACATGCTTGCACCTTCCCTGCATACTTAGATCCATAAAAAATTTCCTACCGTATTCTTATGTGAACGACCAAGTTTGTTCATAGTTTGACTAGTTTTCCTTTAGTATGGAAGGAAGGTCTTATTCTTGCCCTCGCCATTCTTTAATTTTAGCATCCCTAAAGTATCTACCATTAATGGGTCTCATGGTTTTCCTTTGTTTGAATTCAATTTAGTTTTAATCAGAGTCAGGTGTTTCGACCCAATTAAATTATACTCATGTCCTGATGCAGGTTCCATGTATTATACAACGTTACTCACGGTTCTTGGAAGGTATTACGGTGTCAAAGATGGATGATTGGGCTTTAGTAAATGGCTCTAAAAAGAAGGAATATACTGGTGCCTGAAGGAGATACATCAGCTTTTGCTCAAACGTAATGCAGAAGCATGACTTCTTTGGTTGAGAACTCTGCAACCGTCGTGTACTCTGTTTGATGCCAAGTTTTTCAAGTCAAGCATTTCATCTGTGTTTTGAGTTACTCTTTAACTTCTTCGATCTTAATGTTTACATTTATTTGGCATGAAAATATGACCATTATCTTCGTGTGCTGGACTATTGCTTCTGCCTCATGTGTATCTTTTTTGACTCATAGTATAAGCAACTGAGACAGCTCTTTAGTTTTTTTCTGATATGTACAGAACAGCCTCTGCTAGTGCAAAATTTGTAATAGGAAATTTGTAATGTTGAGGAAGAAATAGAAATGACTTCCAGTTTTCTAGTGTCAATTTGGCTTGCATCCTGAGCATAATTCAAGATTTGCAAGGCATTATTTACAATTCAAGTGCAGGGGATTTGCAGTTGTGATTTCAGTTGAAAAAATGTTATTTTCCTCATGAGCAATGCTTGTATGAAAAATTGTTCTGGTAGAGGTTTGAGAGTATCAACCTGGACCTCAACAACGATAATGGCATGAAAAGAAGTTCAATTTGGGTATGACAACAAACGTACCATTCCAAATCTGATTGGTGATTGCTCTGTTCAAAATGGATAATCATTACAGTTATACCATTACAGGTATGATTGAAGTTGCAAGTGTTTGTCGTATCATGTTCAGAATGTGTTAAGTTCCCTTAAACAACCAACAGACCCAAAAATGACACAACCATGACCACTTATTGCACAAGCAGTTTAAGTAGAGACTTCCTGGATGCCGATACATATTCATAGTTAAAGCTTGCAGCAGAAATTCAGGCCAAGAGAGAGATGGCATGCCACAATATTTATCTGAGATAGAGAACAAGTACAGTAAAACTGAAACTATTATTTCCAACACAAAACGTACAATTATAATTCATAATCATTATTTCCAGTTTTCCTGAAAAGCTCGCCCCCCCAGCATTGGGGCCAGTTAACATGTTCCAAAAAAATTTCCATTTGAAGGGAAAGCCAAGTGCAGTTTGGTTCTTCAAAAGTGTCCTATCCTTTAATTTTATCAGTAGACATTTCCCCTTCGAATGTAACAATCATTCATAGCCGGTAGATGCAGAATCATCCCCAATTCATCTTATTAGCACCACACTTGCAACTCAAACATCACCGCCTGAGTTGCCGCCTAGCCAGAGCAGGTGCTCTCTTGGGGATTTTAATCTTGTAGCTCACCTGGTGACAACAAGTCAAATAATATGATGTCAAAACTTTTGCAAATTGAATTCAAGAATTGGAGATCTTAGGAACACATGCATAATTTATGGTAAACGAAACACTCACCTGTACCACTTCACCTCCTCTCACCATAGACATTGTCCTATGCTCAAACTGTGAGCCATCCTTGCCTTCATCTTGCTGTTCTTTTGAGCTATGCTCTTCAGATGTTGGTTTAACTCCTGTACTATGATTGTTGCTACCACTCTTGGCAATAGTTTGAGATGTTTCATCTGCAATCTCATTGACAAAGCTCTTGGTCACCAACAAAGTTCCCTTAGAAGGTGCTGGTGACAGGGTTGCCTGCTTCAGGGTGGAGGCAGTGCCAGAAGACTCTCGAATCAGTTTTGACCCACTGGGTTCGGATTTACCAGTGACAACACAAGCACTAGTATGTTCCATTTCTTTGCGATTAACAGAGACAATTGCCCCATCTGGTGGACAAATAACATTCTGTTTAGCAGTTCCAGATTCAGGTCCACAATATCTTCCATCTGGGATCTTACCTCTAACCACGGTGGGGTGAGAGGAATCTCTTCTTGGTGTAGTTGTACTGCTCTGATTTACTAATCGGGTTGTACCTACCACACAAGAACCATCCTGAAAGGGTGACTTGATCTGAAGCAACTCGGCCTTAGTAGTGGACACTTGTTTCACATCACTGTCACCCTCACTTTTCTGATCAGCAAGAGTCGTTGAATTTGTTTGAAGCCCTCCTCGAAACTTCCTTAGATTCTCCAAGGCTTTTTGCCTCAAAACTGACTCCAAATCGTTGCCATCTGAACCAGCAGTGGCAGCAGAAACCTTGTTGACATTTACCATCTCTGTCTCAATTGTCTTAATCCCAGCTGGTGGAACATTAATTCCATCTTGTTGGCCAGGATCATTCTTACCACTTTCAGCGTACACAGTTGATGTAGTGTTAGCAACAAAAGGTGCCCTTCCCACAACATTTTCTACTTTCCTCCTCTTATCATCTGCAACATGTGAATGATGAGGTAACTCCCTCTTACTGCCTCCGTCATTACTGTCATTGCTTCTGCAAGAAGGGTAATCATCATGATCATGCATGATCTCTTCTTTATGCTCATCCTTACCGCATTTCTTTTCCTCTTTCTCCTCTGGTTGTTTTGCGATGGAAATAACTGATCTCAAACGCTTTGAATTATTCTCACTTGCCAATTCCTCCTCGATGTGATTACCCCTACTGTAGCTATACCTACTAAATGAAGAACAACTAGGGGACCTTGTTCTAGTGTCTTTGGATTGCCGCCTAGGCCTAATGGAATCTATCTTATCTTTCTTGTTTCCTCTAGACCTTCTACTAGACCTCTCAAATTCACTCACGTCACTACTGCTACCACTTCGATCTTGACAAGTAGAGCAGCTCCGCTTTTCACCACTCGTGGAACTGATACTAGCATCTCTTCTAGGCCTTTTCTTTTGGGTTTTCTTCCTCACCTCAGAGTCATGATTTCTCTTCAAACCTTTTCTCTTTCTAACACGAGGTGAATCTTTGCTGCCCTGTCTGCTAGAAGAGCTTCTTTGACGTTTTTTCCTACCACTCTTCACATCCTTTCTTGCGCGAGATCGAGCCCTTCTTCTCTTATAATCATCCTCAGAAGCAGAAGAAAAAACAGACTCCGAACTTCTTGAATCATCATCAGAATAACAAGAAACAGAATCATCACGACGTCGAAGCTTCTTGGATTTATTTCTCCTACTCCTCTTCTTCCGCCGAGCCTACCAGACAATACATTACATATCCATACACAGAAACATAATTTGAGATTGGACTAAAGACAATCCAATTTTAGATAAATTCATCTCAACACTTCAAATGTGAGATATAGAAGAACTTTTCATGTTTTTTCAATCTCAAGACTGCCATTACTCCAACACCCATGGGAGAAACCTCCACTTAATTCAGTTTACCGAAACTACTTGGCTCAAAATTTTCTATCCTTTTTTCCCTTAATTTTTATCAGTTCTCACAAGGGTATAATGTTAATGTACTAATCAACAAAGAAAAGTAGCCCTTCAATTGAGTGATTCAGAATTCAAACCCTAGAACTACCAATCTATGAGAGAGAGAGAGGGAGAGAGAGAGGGAGATACCTCAGAAGAAATTTTGGACCTTTTCTTCTTAGAAGACTTTCCCTTGGAGGAAGAACCACGGCCACCCATTGAGTTTTGACCTCCTCCTCCTCCTTCTTCTTCTGTTACCTACAACAATTCAAAGAAACCAACAAAACAAGAGACACCCACAGAGAAATGAAATCGTTGAGGGTATATAAATAATCGATAAAAAAGAATAGAAATTTTCCAGAATATCTAAGGAAAGGAGTGCTGCTTTCTGGGTTTAAGCGTTTGGACGACTAGTATTGAGAGATAGGTTTCCTCAATAGCACCCTCTCTCTCTCTCTCTCTCTCTCTCTCTCGCTCGCTCTGCTTTTCAACAAACGAATATTTGGTGGTTCTAACTTTTTCGACTAATTATACTTTTGCCCCTAAAGTATCACGAATTTTATTTTTGATTCTGAAACTTATTTTATTCCCGATTTTGTCCTTAACATTGGTCCGTTGTGTCTAATCGGTCAAATTGATCCAATATGCGCGCACGCACGCACGCACTATCTTCTCTATTTTACCCTAAAAACTACAAATATTTTGAAGTTTTAATCTTTGAATCTGATTTCTAGCAAGTTGAAGAGATGGCTAATGCGATATTTCATTAGTGAATTATGTGGTTTTCTTTATGTTTGGACATATTGATAATTTTGTGCAATAGTAATGCTATGCTGATCAAATTTTAGGATTAAATTTGAAGTGTAAATGACATGACAGTATATTATTTAGAGTATTTATTGGAGCCCAAATGATATGACACTAAATAAAGAAGCTCATGTCAACAACCATGTCATTTGATGTCTAAATTTAGGCAGTGTGGCATTACTCTTTTGTGCAATAAAATAAAGTTTTTGTTACGTTCAAAACTTTAAAATTTAATTTTTAATATACACGCCTTTAACTCTTGAGTCAAATTTTTCTTTTTTATAATTATGGCAGTGATAGTAATCACAGTGGTGGCAGTGATTGTGATAGATCACTAGGTTTGTTTGATTCGGTATATAGATTCTCTAATGTTGAGGTGATATTACTCATTTTAATTCTTTTGATCCTTGTTGATATTTGCGAGACTTTTTAAGTTCAATTTTGGAGATAGTCATATGGTTTATGAAAAAAAATTGAACCAATGGCTTTGGTGAGAAGATGACAACAAGGATGTGTAATGGTGGCCAAGTTCTTGGGTGGAGGTGGGAGTGATAGTGTCATGTTTAATTTTTTTTAAGTTCAATAATCAAGCGCATCCGAACTAGTATACGCACATTTCAACTAATTTTCCTTTCCAGTCAAAAATAGATCATCCAAATCAAGACTAGAATATTCATGAACAATAAATCTTCCAAATAATTGTTGAAATTCAAACTCAAAACGTTTGAATTTATAATTCGTTCTTATTATTACGTAAGCTAGATTTGACAACAAATTCAAAGTCAAGGGAGGAAATTGAACGCTTAACAAACTCTAGTNTAGAAGACTTTCCCTTGGAGGAAGAACCACGGCCACCCATTGAGTTTTGACCTCCTCCTCCTCCTTCTTCTTCTGTTACCTACAACAATTCAAAGAAACCAACAAAACAAGAGACACCCACAGAGAAATGAAATCGTTGAGGGTATATAAATAATCGATAAAAAAGAATAGAAATTTTCCAGAATATCTAAGGAAAGGAGTGCTGCTTTCTGGGTTTAAGCGTTTGGACGACTAGTATTGAGAGATAGGTTTCCTCAATAGCACCCTCTCTCTCTCTCTCTCTCTCTCTCTCTCGCTCGCTCTGCTTTTCAACAAACGAATATTTGGTGGTTCTAACTTTTTCGACTAATTATACTTTTGCCCCTAAAGTATCACGAATTTTATTTTTGATTCTGAAACTTATTTTATTCCCGATTTTGTCCTTAACATTGGTCCGTTGTGTCTAATCGGTCAAATTGATCCAATATGCGCGCACGCACGCACGCACTATCTTCTCTATTTTACCCTAAAAACTACAAATATTTTGAAGTTTTAATCTTTGAATCTGATTTCTAGCAAGTTGAAGAGATGGCTAATGCGATATTTCATTAGTGAATTATGTGGTTTTCTTTATGTTTGGACATATTGATAATTTTGTGCAATAGTAATGCTATGCTGATCAAATTTTAGGATTAAATTTGAAGTGTAAATGACATGACAGTATATTATTTAGAGTATTTATTGGAGCCCAAATGATATGACACTAAATAAAGAAGCTCATGTCAACAACCATGTCATTTGATGTCTAAATTTAGGCAGTGTGGCATTACTCTTTTGTGCAATAAAATAAAGTTTTTGTTACGTTCAAAACTTTAAAATTTAATTTTTAATATACACGCCTTTAACTCTTGAGTCAAATTTTTCTTTTTTATAATTATGGCAGTGATAGTAATCACAGTGGTGGCAGTGATTGTGATAGATCACTAGGTTTGTTTGATTCGGTATATAGATTCTCTAATGTTGAGGTGATATTACTCATTTTAATTCTTTTGATCCTTGTTGATATTTGCGAGACTTTTTAAGTTCAATTTTGGAGATAGTCATATGGTTTATGAAAAAAAATTGAACCAATGGCTTTGGTGAGAAGATGACAACAAGGATGTGTAATGGTGGCCAAGTTCTTGGGTGGAGGTGGGAGTGATAGTGTCATGTTTAATTTTTTTTAAGTTCAATAATCAAGCGCATCCGAACTAGTATACGCACATTTCAACTAATTTTCCTTTCCAGTCAAAAATAGATCATCCAAATCAAGACTAGAATATTCATGAACAATAAATCTTCCAAATAATTGTTGAAATTCAAACTCAAAACGTTTGAATTTATAATTCGTTCTTATTATTACGTAAGCTAGATTTGACAACAAATTCAAAGTCAAGGGAGGAAATTGAACGCTTAACAAACTCTAGTGACTAAAAAAAAACTTTAAAAAAGCAAAGTGGAAATTAGTTAGTACTTTCAGAAGATGTCCCATAAGAGAGATTTCCAGCAAAGATGTGTAAAAAAGGTGTCTCCATATCTTCTATCCACTTCTGTCCTGTGAAAAAAGATACTCACAACCTATATAACCCCACCTCAAAACACTGTTGCAGATGATTTGGATCCTAAATTCCATGTTTCTATCACGTACATTGATGAATTCAAATGAAACCTACCCAGATAGGTAGGTCTGACAACAGTACACTGCAAACAATCTTTCATTTCATTGAAGATAGTGTACTTGAGACAATCTGAATCCTTTGAAACTAGGTGTAACTTGCAGCATAGGATCCGAAATGAATCATTTCAACATAGGACCACCGGTGTCAATTAAATATATAGATTTAATCCTAATAATATTTCCAATAGTTTCTACCATCAGCAAATGGAGGACAAAACCATTCAATCCCTATTCCCAGTGTATTCTCGAGTATCCCCAGATGAATCCATTGACTGCCCCTGTTCCTTACCCAAAGAGACCTATCCACATCATCAATAGAGAATTTTGGACTAAATGGCATTTTTCTCCATATCCTATATTACCCATTTTTAGGGTTCCTTTCTATGTACAGTTTAAGCCACAGTAAGAAGAATGACCATCAAACCATACAGTTACAAGAAGCCATTTAACAATAAAATAGAATAGATTACTATGCAGTAAACCAAGACGGTAGCTCATGATGCAGTTAACCATCATCTGCCAAAATCCAGAGGTAACAAAGAACTTCTTTTCTATTTCCACAGCTCAGTCTCGCAGCAGTTATTACATTTATTTGAAAGAAATTAAAGTATACGCATCTTCAGTATTTATTACATCCATTTGATACAAATTAAAGTCTACGCATCTTCAGCATCACTCATATTCGGATGGGTGTCAATGTAAAATTCTGAGTTGACTCCATCAATAATTCTCCCTCTGTTTCACAAACATGTCAAAGATAACACAAAAGGGAAACAGATATGCTACTCCGATGCTAAGAAGAAAAAAGAGAGTCTGAAAGTGTAAGGAGTGTACCTTTCAAGAACAAACTTCCCTTCTTTATACTTCTGGCTTTTTTCGTGTGCAGCTTCCTGGGTGGGAGAAATGGATGTGTTGAGGAGTGCAAAGTGAGAACTCACATTATGCTCATGCTAGTGTGCAATAGCCAACGCCGAATATATACATATGTACATATATATATATATATATATTTGCGCATACATGCACAAGGGGCGGGTTCGTGTGCGTGCGTGTGTGTGTGCGTGTGCGTGTGTGTGCGCATGCGTGAGAGAGAGAGATTACATATTTCCAGCCAACGATTTGTCCACAACAGACGCAAAATATGTCTGCTATGGTATGCATCCCAGAAAGCATCATCCTCTCCTCTAGTGGTCCAATGGTGATGTTCAACCTGAATCACAAACTCCAAACTTCAAAGATAAGTTTAAGTATTTGTCTGTTAACAAACTGTAGCTTGATTACATAATCTCTTACAGTAAGAATAACAGGTAGAAATCCTCAAAGATAATATTGAATATGTTACAAGGAGAAATCCTCCAACTTGCTGGCTACCGTAGGACATAACACAAGAATTGTACAAATTTGAAGGCAAGTAGGTAATTTGCAACCCATGTTTGGCTTCACTTCAAAAAAGTCATCTAATGAGGTTATTAATGTACATCGACTAGCACCTTAAAAAATGTAAGGGAACAATGACTTTTGAAGTTATATGCAGGACCAGCAGTCAATAATAAAATTGTGTATGCTCAATAATTAAACCTATAATCGAAGCTTTGACTAATTTTAAAGTAAAGTTATAGGATTGTCCAAAGTGCAGATTCTAGCTTAGGTGCCTGTAATTTGCATTAACAGGAAATTCAAATCCAGGTCAACTTATCAAAGATTATTATGTAATTTGACAGCATGGTGGCTAACTCTAAAGACTAGTCTTTCCCTTGAGAATTTGAGTCCATGTGGAGTTAGACATTTCTCACAAACACTTGTTCCTTCTCCCAATGACATTACTTCTTCATCTTCTCATTATAATCTTTTGAGTCATCCATGAATATCATGTTGATCCATTCTTGTTTCCCCAGCTTCTCTAATCTCTGAATTCCAACCACAGATTACAGGAAGACTTGAGTTGACATGGACTAGGATGAACAAGAAATTATCAATTACCCAAATAAAATAGTATCAGCATTTTTGCATTTTGAAATCACATGATGCAGCATCCCCAGAATCACACTAGCATCCCGGAGTGGATGAAAAAAATGTTATCCCACAGAACAAATAAAAAATACAGAGAGCGTTAATTTTCTTCAACAATCAACAATAGAAGAGCTACAAAGAACTCACGCTTTACTGAAGAGGTATGCTTTCCCCCTGCGGCTATGAAACGCCTGGTCGCATCACATAACAATCAATGAGATATAAATAGCTGCACAATCTGGAAGAGCAATTTGACCATAGAAATACTATGCACATCAAAGTATGCCAAGAAATATCAAGAGGATAATTAAATATCAAGACCAAAAAAGCATGAACTGGGGGGGATAGTCCAGCAATTAGCGGAATTTCTTTTCAACAAAAACAATGAAGGAAATTCTATCCTGAGCATGCATTGCCACCAAGGATTGAGGGCGCAGCACCACCTAACTGAGAATGTATTACAAATGCCAATTTTTTTATTTTTTATTTTATTTTCATGAGTGCCTGTGTGTTTATTCCCCACAAGATGCCATGCGCGAGAGATTGGTTCAATTTCTATGGCATTAAGTGCTCAAACCTGCTGTATCCAAAATTACAGGATTGTCTCGTACACTGTCATTCCAATGATAATTCTATACCTAACCCATATCAGGCAAAGTTCCAAGAACCAATCCTCTTAGCATTGAAATGGTTATTATACTCAAATAGAAATACAGAATACTATCATAAGCCTTTTCTCGACGACAACAACAAAACAACTAGTTCATCAATCCCCAGTTTACATTCAGATTATGGAAGCTTGTAAGCACTAACAAAACATTCCGTATGAACAAGAAAAGCTGAGAATACACCAAAAAAAAAAGGCTTTCTCTACTTAACAGAAATACACAAAGAAAGACCACAGAAATGAAATAATTTACCCGGGAAACAACATCATCAGCAAGGGCTAAGTGGGTTTTGCAAAACTTGCACCTGTATGTCCTACCTTCCAGATCCACCGTAAATATCCTCCCCATCTCTCTCTCTCTCTCGAACACACACTCGAGCTGATCCACACCCCACACTCTACACTTATTCGAATCAGACCACATCCAGAAAAGGCGGTGTGGCGGGTGAGAGATAGAGAGAGAGTGAGGAAGTGGACAGAAGTCCACAGCCACCGCCCACCTTCGGCCCAAATAAGATGCCCACTGATCCTAATGTCTGGATGAGTACTTCTTTGGGCTCAAATTTTTGGGCCCAATTTCTTTTCTGATGAGTAGCCCAAGCCCTTGAGAGAAAGTGGCTATGCCAGAGCCCACTTGTCACAGTGGTCGAATGTTTGAGGTCAAATTTTGTCAATGTGGATCAAAAACATGGATTTAAATTCCCTGAATTACCTTTTTCCTTCGATTCCGCACAATACAGTGAGTAAATAAGATTTTGAATTTCAATGAGATATTTTCTCATTCATTTTATTATTGATGGAGTGTTAATCATTATTAAAGAATTTTTTCATAAGGAAAAAAATTTGTCTATCGAAATTCAAAATTTTACACATGTCATTCATCTAGCACTATATTAAAACAAATTAAAAGAAAAGGGTAATGGAGTAGATTCGGATCCCAACAACATTAGCATCAATTGGACCGTTTGGACACTAGCCAATTTGACAAAAAAAACAAAAACCAAAATTTGAAAACTTAAAACTTTTAAGAATTGACTGTCCAATCTGCCTGAATGAGAGATTATTGCCAGCATGGGGGCTGCCCAAATCGGGTCCGCCCATTTTCATGTCTGTCAATGAAAATCATATGTTTGACCATGTTTTATAAGGAAATTCCAACGAAACATGTCCTAAGGTCTGTTTGGTTAGATAGAAATTGACGATAAAAAGTGAAAACGGTAAAAAATAAAGTGAAACAAAGGAAATAAAAAATATATATATATATATATATATATATATATATTTTGTATATATTTGATTAGAATGAAAATTTTGCTAAAAAAATATAAAAAAATTGGTGTAAGTACTAAATTAGCATTATCAAATCAATTTAACACATACACAAGGATTAAAAATTACAATCTGGACACAACAATGCATTTGATTGCAGAAAACCACTTAAAATTTTATTAGTAAATCTTTTTGTTATATTAACTTAAAACTATTTGACCATATATAGTATATGTTTTGTTAATTAAACCTGGTGCTTGATTAATAGGAGTAAATATGTGTAGAACATTACGTCACCTTAGTTATGTGAAAATGTGGGCAAAGTCGTAAAATATGGGGTTACCTCTCGCACTTTCACGGAAAATAAATATTTCCTTGTTGATTTTGCAAAAAATTAAATGTGAGATTTACAAGAAAATTTTATGGCCCCTGCACACCACTTTCTTGTATTTTTTTTATCAATTTCTTTCTAAACAACACATGAAAAAAAAAAATTCTTATATTTTATATCATTTTCTTATTAACCAAACGAAACCCTATACTCCATTTGATACGATAGAAAAGTGGAAATATAAAAAGTTGGAAGAACGGAAAGTTGGAGGGATAAATAAAATATTATGTTTGGTAAAAAAGAAACGTAGGAATGATAGAAAAGTGGATGAATTAACTTTCCTTTCAACTCACCAAAATTAATCTTTTCAAAATCGGAAGGAAAGTGGATGATAAGTTAATTATTTATGTTGAAATGTATTTTATTTGTCTATATATCTTTTTATATATACAAATATTATGTATACATTAATTTTATATAAAAATACAATGGTAAAATATATTTGTGTGTGTGTGTATATATATATATTAAAATTAAAATAAATAAATAAATAAAAATAAAAAATTTAAATTAAAGAAAAATATTTTTTCTATTTTAACTAAGGGTGAAAATTTTCGACTTAACACGATGACATGACTCGAATTCGATACAAAAATAAACAGGTCAACTCGTAACTCGACACGACACAGTTAGTAAAATGAGTTAAGTTAAGTTTAATTAATATTCGACACAAACCCGTAATGACTCAATACGAATCTGACACGACACGACTCGATTGTCACTCGTAATCTTAGCAACACAAAAAAAAAATAATTATATTTTTTATTTTTAATCCATCCAACCAAAAATAAAAGAAAAAAAATATATTCTTTCTACTTTTTATCCTCCCTGCAAAACGGAATACTAGTGTTTGGTGAGATTTTTCTAATAATGTGTCTCAGCGATGTAGGCTATTATAAGTTGGTTTAAAGAATGAGAACTTTCATTTTTAAGGTGGTTTATTGTTTGAACTTGATTTATAGTAATTTAAAGATCTTAGCTTCATCATTTTATATATTTTTTACGGATCAAACAACTTTTATTCTTTATGGAATATGTTTTAAACTCATTCGAATTACGATGATTAATATTTTATATAAAAAGAATAATCGGTACAAATTTAAATCTTGACCCAAACAAAACACATAAAAGGAAAAGAGTGTGAACTTTACTAGTGTCGTACTAGCGACGTCGATGTTGAATAATTGGAGCCACAGCTTGTGAATCAGACCACCCTACCCTACTCTTCACAGTAAAGCGACATCTAACAGTAAGGCTCTACCCACAATGACCAGAGAGCAATCTAATGAAAAAATATTAAATTTTAACAAAATTTTAACGGTAATATTATATTATTATTGTTGTATGATATTATTTATTTATATTAATTATAATTTATTATAGTTTTTATTCAATATCTTAAGTGACAAAATTTAAAATAAATAAATTATATTATAAATCATGTATATCCCACGAAGGGTGATGAAAATATAATGAACCGCTAAATTGCAACAACGAAAACCACATATAAAAAACCAGTCATAAAAGAAAATAAAGAATTATGTAAGTATAAAAGGGCAAAATGGGCAAACTAAGAGTGGTAAAATGAGCCGCTAAATTGCGCCAAAGCAGAAAGACTGGCAGTCGGCACCGGACAGAGAAACAAACGGCGGTTTAAAGGCTGGGTTAGGAGGCAGCCGCCCTTATCCGCTCCAAAACCCATGAATATATATATATACAAAGTAAAGGTATTTATTTTGGCCTTTTGGCGGTTGCTTTTAAACACAGCACCGTATGTTCTTACCAAACCCCCACGTGTCACACGAAGGCTTACTCCTGACGTCATTTCCATGGGTCCCACTATCCATTTCCCCCACCGAAACCACGCCAATACGTGCCTGCTCAACTGTCGGATTGGTCCAGTTTCGAACACGTCACTCTATCTTTCAAATCATGCAACCTCGACCGTACGAGGCTCACGTGAAATTTCAAACGTGTCAGTCTGTGATTGCTTGAATTTCTTTCGTCATCGTACCACTGCATGTAAATGTAGTGTGGCCGTCTGGAGTGAGAAGAGAGAAAGGTTTGAAATCTTGTCCATAGATTCGAGGGCACGAGTAATGGGGCCCACTAAAAGCGGCCGCCGCGCCTCAGACCTTTTATACTCATTCACACGTGGACCCCAGTGTTTGTCTCTAATGTTGACATAAACTGTTGAACGAATACGAAGTGGTGGGAGAGACATATTATTTTTTTTCCAAATGTCAATCTCGCCTCACTTATTTTCTGAATTCACATTTTTGGCCACCTAACTTTGCATTGGTAGATCCAATCTAAAATTAAAAAAAAACCTCACACTACTAGATCCTTATTATGATTTACTTTTTAGTAATACACCTTGAATTTAATTTATTGACCAATTATATTTATTGAATTAATTATAAATTCCAATTCAGAAATCTCAAGTTCAATTCATTCTCAGATTTTTTAAGGGCTAATTATCATTATATCTTTAAAGATATTGTTTTAACCCAATTTAAATTATGGAGACTAATCATTGAATTCAAGAGAATAGTCAACACAGGCCTAGACATTGGTCTAGAATGGAAGGAAGATCTTGTAAATCTTCTTTTGTGCGCAAATAAATACTACTATGACTATGATATAACTTTATCACTTATCCTTATTAGTGACACATAATTTCATTGGTCAATAATGTTGGGATCATGGGAGAAAGTGAACGCCACCTATTTGTATGCAATAATTATTCTATTCTATGGGACAAATCTTAGTTTATGTAGTGGTTTAGTCATAAATGATGATTCACTCGTATGAATGTTGATGTGGTGTCGTTGTTGAAAGTTAGAACTATGACTTTAGCTTTTCTATAAGATTAGGACTATGGGTTATAGTAATGATAAAGGCGAATGAAGTTTGCTAGAAGTTGATTACATCCTCTTGGTTGCTGCCTTCTAAAGGCCAACCTTAAACCCTCCCCCCCCC